ACCTACGAGCCTTTCAGGAATGACAGGTTGGTGCCGTTTATGGATATATCAGTATGGGGTACTTGCAGAGCCTTTGTACGAACTGCTGAAAACAACCAAAATTAACATAATTTGGACCCCTGAAGTGGACAAAGCCTTCAAACGACTAAAGCAAGAACTTATGAGGGCCCCGGTGCTAGGTTTGCCCTACGTAACAAAGCCCTTTTGGCTGTTCTCACATGAACATCAAGGAATGGCTTTAGTGGTCCTGGCTCAGCAACTAGGGCCATACAAAAGGGTAGTAGCCTACTTCTCCAAACAACTGGATGAGGTAAGCAAAGGATGGCCTACCTGCCTGAGGGCAGTAGCTGTAGTGGTTATAAATATAGAAGAGACCAGGAAACTTACAATGGGGCAGAAAATGACTGTGTTAGTGTCCCATACTGTATCAGCAGTACCGGAGCAAAAAAGCAACCATTGGTTATCACCTTCACGGTTCCTGAAATAACAGGCGATCCTGGCCGAATCAGATGATGTGACCATTCAGGTGACTAACGCTGTCAATCCAGTTTCATTCCTAGAAGGAAGAATGTCAGCCGAACCGCTTGAACACGACTGCCTAGAAACAATTGAAACAGTGTACTCCAACCTCCCAGATCTTTAAGAAGAACCACTTCAAGATGCAGACGACTGGTTTTCAGATGGTAGCAGTTTCGCGAAACAGGGAGTAAGAATGGTTGGTTATGCAGTTACTACAACAGAAAAGGTAATTGAGTCAAACCCTTTACCTGCAGGAACTTCAGCCCAGAAAGCAGAACTGATAGCTCTCATCTGAGCTCTTGAACTGGCAAAAGGGAAGCAAATAAACATCTGGACAGATTCCAAGTATGCCTTCTCTGTTGTGCATGCCCACGGTGCAATATGGAAAGAACGAGGGCTATTGACTGCCCAAGGAAAAGATGTAAAGCACGCGGAAGAGATTCTCCAACTGTTAGAAGCCGTCCAGCTCCCAACACAGGTGGCTATAATGCACTGTAAAGGACACCTGAAAGGTAACATGGTTCCAGAAATAGGTAATCGGAAAGCTGATGAAGAAGTTAGATTAGCTGTTGCAAGAAGAAAAGAATTAACAATAGCAGTTTTAGTGCCAGAGAAACTAGATACAGATTTCCAACCAGAATACCAAGAGTCAGATCATAAGTGGATACATAAAAATGGAGGTAAGCTATTGGACAATGGGTGGGGCCAGCTAAAAACAGGACAGCTGGTATTGCCAGGAAAAATGGTATGGCAATTCGTAAAAGTGGAACATGACAAGACTCATTGGGGCTTAGATCCACTCTATCACCATTTAAAAACTAGAGTGGCAGGACCAAAATTATTTACTGCAATAAAACAGGTTACATCCCGATGCGAGCGCTGCCTGAAAAATAACCCAAATACTGGAACTAAAATACAACAAGGGGCAATAAACAAAGGAAAATTCCCAGGTGAAGTTTGGCAAATTGATTTCTCTGAATTGCCAAGAAAAGGGGGGTAACAGATATCTCTTAGTTTTGACAGATACATTTTCTGGATGGTCTGAAGCTTTCCCGTGCAAAACAAGTAAAGAAAGAGGAGTGATCAAAGTTCTGTTAAACAAAATTATACCACGATTTGGGGTGCCAAGAAGCATCTCTTCAGACAGGGGTTCACATTTTTTGTGCAAAGGTTATACAAGCAGTAAGTAAAGCATTGAAAATCAAATGGCAATTGCATACGCCCTACAGACCCTAAGCGAGTGGGCAAGTAGAAAAAAACAAACCATCTCATTAAACAATAAATTGCTAAAATATGCCAAGAAACAAGTTTTCAGTGGCATCAGGCTTTACCTATTGGTCTGATCAGATTGAGGGTCAAACCAAGATCAAAAGAAAAATTGAGTCCATTTGAAATTTTATATGGTAGACACTATGCAATGCAGATTGTAGATAGTGAGGCAGTAGATCAAATAGGCAATCAATATGTGTATGATTACGTTATAGCTGTAGGAAAACAATTTGATAAAAATGCTACGGTGGTGTTAGAACACCAACCAAAACAGCCTGATTGTAAACTACATCCATTCAGTCCCAGTGATTGGGTATATGTTAAGAATCTTTTAGGAGAACCTCTGCAAGAAAAGTGGGAAGGACCTTTCCAGGTGTTGCTGATCACCTTCACAGCAGTCCGAGTAAAAGAGCAACCAACCTGGATCCACTAGTCCTGAGTCAAAAGAGCTCCAGAAGACGGTAAAGCAAGCTCTTAAGGAAACCTGAACCATGGACCTAAGAACAACACTGATTCTCAGACTTTTGATAAGTATAACCATATCCCAAACTCCTACTTTGGAGTGGCCATGGTCGAGTGCACAAATTATAGAATCGTTCCCTTGGGTGGGGATACATTCCTCAGTTGATCCAGAGCCTAGGCCAAGTTTAGTCATTTATGTCCTACATAATAACAGACCATATACACAACAAGACTGGAATAAAGCCAAAGACTCAGTGGATATCATAATAGGAAAATTGTACGATGAAATACAAATAGGGTGCAAAGGTGTTAATACCTTAACACAAAAGACAAAACAGGTCAAGCTGACAGTAACACCCATGATGAACCAATCACTTATATTTAGTCAAATGGACAATGCGAGTAATGATGTTTGGTTTGAAAAATAGGGTCCAATTTCTTGCCTTGGTAGAAACCCAATCTCTAGCTGTCAAATTATTAACATTGGTAGCGAACTACACGGCCAAAGATTTTACTAAAATTCCAGACTACACTGGAAACATTAGTAAAAAGGTTGCACTTGCAATCCAATGTATCCGAACTCAACAATGGTACAATCTATAGCTGCAGGAATACTCAGAGAGGGAACATCAGGGATTTAATGGCCAGTCTTCGCGAGCGAAGATCCGGGGAAGGTCTTTACACCTTCCAGCCTGTGCATTGGATTTTTTAGGTGAGACACAGTGTGTGCGGAACTGAGCCCACCCTTTAATCCTAAGGTTCATCTGCCGGGGCCAAGCAAGCTTGGACGGTGGCAGCGAGGTCCTTAGGACGTAGATGGGTTGCCTTTTAAGGGCTAATGAGCTCCATCTGCCCGGGAGTGTCCCTGACCGGGAAACATCAGGGACATTACCCCAAGAAATCAGAGAATTAATAGCGAGAGAAGATTCCACTACTCAGTTTGAAAAAGAACATCAAGCCTGGTGGCAATTAGTGAACTTCACCTACAATCCACAACATGAAGGAATTGAAGCATATGTGCTCACTATTAGTGCAGCACAAGAACAGGCAATCTTTCCTGTTCTAACCCTGGGAGCTATACACCAAAATGTAATTGTCAGACCCTTAGGTCATAGTGTTTGGGCAAGTTACGATAAGACCAAAGGCAAATGACAATCGATCAGCACTGAGGCATGTATTCCCAGGGAACAGTTAGGATACATCTGTGAAAATGCAGTAATAGAAAATGAAGACCTGTGTTTAGATATCGAAGAAAGTACATGTACCTTTGAAATGTTCTCACACACTAAAGCCCAATCACAAGTATTTTATGTAGGAAATGGATGTGCACATGTCAGAACTGCTTGTGTTAATATTACTATAGATAATTGTCATGAAGAAAACAATGGTACTAATTTTTGTGTATATAATTTCACTAGGATTGTACGTTGGGATTTTAATTATGTTGCATCAGTAACAACACAACAATTGATTAGAATAAATTATACTTTGTATCATGAATATCGATCTTTTTAAGGCAATGCTCAAACACCCGGATGTAGAAAAGTTAGTTCAAGAAGTAAACAGAACAACCCAACTGCATGCTGTGGCAAGTCAAACATGACTCCGAAAATATAAAATCTATTTTAGCTGATGCAGAACGAATCGGAGAACATCATTGGTGGGACATCCTGATAGGATACTCTCCTAAGGCAACGCAAGTGTTTAATTTTCTAATACATCCCATGCTAGTCATATTGGGAGGAATGATCACATTATCTTTCTTGAACATCTACCTGTGGTATAAGTTGAGCATTATCATGAAGAAAACACAAACAATGTGGGGAATGACATTCGTTTACCAAAACCCTTTGTCTTTAGAACTTGACAAGATAATTTGTAAGTCCTGAGAAAAGGGGGGAAATGAAACAGAGCAAGGATTTTTAGATGCTAGAATCCTACTCTGAGGAGAGGCTCACAGACCCCACTTTGAGGAATGCTGCATTTAGGTTAAAGTGACAGAGAGCGTGTGTTATGAGATTAGTTAAGAGAGAGAAGGTACCAGGTTCCGAGAGGCCTGTTCGTGCCTGGTATGCTCTATCCTAATGAAAGATGACAAAAAGTTTGGCCTAGTAGTCATAAATTAGATAGGATGGACATTTGGGGGATGAAGGGCTGAGTAAAGGGGTTTTTTAGTAAGACTTTCGCACATAGTCAGGAAGAGTTGAAAAGTTCATGACGATGAGGAACAGAGAAAATGACCCTCACGAGGCCGAAGAAACAGGAACGACCCCCAGGAATCTACCCAAAAGGATGACTCCACCTCAAACTCTGCCTGAACCCCACCTAATATGAATAACTAGATGATGTAATTTGAATAAATATTCATATAAAATACTGTAATCTCTCACCAAAACTGTATAAATTACCTGACTTTTCACTGAAAGCTAGTTTGTCCAGCGCGAGCTGGCTAGCACCCCAACGTTGCTCGAAATAAATACCTTTGCTGCTTAAAGACCCAAAACTGTCTCTGAGCAGTTATTTTATGCTGCTTTTGGCATCATAACTAAGTATTATGAAGCTCCATATCAGTAATTTAATATTTTAAATGGAACTACTTAGATATAAGAATTTACCCTCATACTGTGTTTGAAGGCAACCTTTATAATTTATTTTACTAAAAATAGTTCTTGGAGACATAAGTCCATTTTTGTTGCCTTTCCTGCTCAGTACTCTCACATTCCCTCAGCACAGGAAGGAGGTATCTAGCCTCAGACTCTGCTACTCCTATTACCCACCTGACATTCATACAGCTTCTTTCTTCCCTTTTTAGCTCCAGCTCCAGACTGACAGGCCGTCAGGTGACATTTGAGTGTACTATTCCTAGCAAAACGCTCATGGCAGTTTGGACATTCAAATGGTTTTTCACCTGTTAAGACAGACACAAGGATTTGTAAGTGTATAAAACCAGCCAGTTTTTGGTCAGCTCTTCCTTTTGTGTAGGTTGATAAATATGCTGTAAAGATGTGGCCAACTGGACTATTCTAGAGAAGAAAGACATTCTATTTAACTTTATGTAAATAAAATGGCAAAAACCTAATGTGGAGTCATACCTCTCATTTATAAAACCAAAACAAAATAAACCAAACAAATCAAAACAAAAACCATACACACAATAATGTAACATAATTCCCAGTGTCATTTAAGGTATATTCAGGTTTTTATGAAAGTTAGGTTATTATTCTGATGAAATATCTTAAAGAAATAGCAGCTATTTCTCTCTTTTCACCTGATAATAATTTAAAGGCTCAACATTAGTATATACAAAGTGACACATTAAAGAAGGAGGCATTTAAATAATACAAAGTTGTATTTTTAAGAACAATGAGAGAGAGAGCTGAAACTAAGCTCCATAAAAAGAAGTTGACACTGAATGACCAGGAAGTAATAATGCATTGGTATTAAAAAAACTAAACCAATCCCCAAAACTTTAATTCGAAGTAGTATATTATTATTACCATCATCAAATAGTAATAAAGAACAACTGCTGTCTCTGTTTACTAATTTTATCATACACAAACACAATGAAATTCAAGGAAATTAAAGTACAAAAAAAAGAAATCCACAAGTAGCCTATGATTCTTGCTTATACACCTAAAGGCCACAGAAAAATGTTAAATGGATAGAACAGTCCCCTTAATGGTTATAAAAGGCTATGTTTTTGGAAACTGTTGTACAGGTAATGCAGAGGATGCTTGAACCACCATCTGTCTCGTAGATCAAACATCACAGACATTGCATGAGCAATCAAATACAGAATCACAGAATCAGCTACATTGGAAAACAGTTTTGAGATCATCAAGTCCAACCTTTGACCCAACACCACCTTGTCTACTAGACCATGGCGCTAAGTGCCACATCCAGTCTCTTCTTAAACACCTCCAGGGACAGTGACTCCACCACCTCCCTGGGCAGCCCGTTCCAATGCCCAATCACTCTCTCTGTGAAGAATTTCTTCCTAATGTCCAATCTAAACTTTGCCTGGAGTAGCTTAAGACTATGCCCTCTTGTACTACTGCTGGTTGCCTGGGAGAAGAGACTGATACCCACCTGGCTACAACCTCCTTTTAGGTAGTTGTAGACAGTGATAAGGTCTCCCCTGAGCCTCTTCTTTTCCAGGTTGAACAACCACAGCTCCCTCAGCCACTCCCCATAAGACTTGTGCTCCAGACCCTTCACTAGCCTCATTGCCCTTCTTTGGACATGCTCCAGCACCTCAATATCCTACCTGAATTGAGGGGCCCAGAACTGGACACAGTACTTGAGGTGGTGCTGATAAAGGGTGATCAAAATATAAAGCAATAATACAAGATTGTAGCCTTAGTTGAGTACTGGTTAATGTTTAGATAGAATAGATAGGGCCTTGCTTGCTTTTGTTAACTCACAGACTGGATATAGTTAATTTTATAATGAAGACTTTAGTGGGAACAGAAAACCTTAGAGTTTCGATAAGGGACTTTGAAGCTCGTGAGAAAGGGACCTTGAAAGTTGATAAAGAAAAGCTCCTGGAGAAGATACCAGTTTTAATTGGACAGTGCCAACTCAGTAGTTCTTAGCAAAGGTAAAAAGTTCAAGTTGAGGAAGACTTCTTACTTCATCCAAAAGACCCCCAAAGACCCCCGAAAGAAAACCCCAAGGGGGCGTTCCAAGGTGGAGTTATAGGAGTGGAGTAAGTTAACGATTTCCCCTCCCACTTTTCTGAAATTTGCTGACACAGCTAATGCATATGTAACACAACTAATGTATATGTAATACAACTAATGCATATGTAACATTATACTGCATAAAGAGTTGAACAAAGGCAATGGGTGTGTGTGATTGGAGGAATTATCCCCCATGTACCTGTTGCTCTGAATAAACATACCTGTTTCAATACTCTTTGCGAGTTTTGGGGTTTGTTTCCACAAGTCAATGCCTCACCAGTGCCGAGTACAGGGGAAGAATCACTTTCCTGCTCCTGCTGGCCATGCTATTCCTGATACAGGCCAGGCTGTCATTGGCCTCCTTGGCCACCTGGGCACACTGCTGGCTCATGTTCAGCTTCCTGTCAATCAGAACCCCCAGGACCCTTTCTGCCTGGCCACTCTCCAGCCACTCTGTCTCCAACCTGTAGTGCTGCATGAGGTTGTTGTGGCCAAAGTGCAGGACCTGGCACTTGGCCTAAGTATATTGGTGAGCAAAGAGAATACCTCAGGAGGTGAGCCCCAGGAGCAAGAAATCAGGCAAGGAAGGCAAGAGACCAGCGTAGCTGAGTAGGGACCTGCTGGTCAAACTAAAGAGCAAGAAGGAAATGCACAGGCAGGGGAAGCAAGGACAGGTATCCTGGGAAGAGTATAGAGATGAAGTTTGGTTGTGTAGGGATGGGGTCAAGGCAGGCCAAGGCAAAGTTGGAGCTAAACTTGGCAAGGGATGCAAAGAATAACAGGAAGGGTTTCTACAGGTATGTCAGCCAGAAAATGGAAGGTGAAAAAAGGTGTTACACCCCCGATAAACAAAGTGGTAGCAATGGACAATAAGAAGGTGGAGAAGCTTCAAACGGACAGAGAGTAGGTTTAGATTAGATATTAGGAAAAAATTCTTCCCTGTGAGGGTGGTGAAGCCCTAGCACAGGTTGCCCAGAGAGGCTGTGGATGTCCCATCCCTGGAAGTGTTCAAGGCCAGGTTGGACAGGGCTTGGAGCAACCTGGTCTAGTGGAAGGTGTCCCTGCCGGTGGCAGGGGGTGGAAAAAGATGAGCTTTAAGGTCCCTTTCAACCCAAACCATTCTATGATTCTATGAATACTACAGGACAAAACTCACACCACAAACCTTCACCCGCCCCGTGATCTGGTCACATTTAAGGAGTTACTTGAAGCAAGGCACTGCCCAGTTAAGGACTGATTTATTCTATTCTTACTCAAATTCTTCAACAATCTTCAACATATTCTGCTCAAATTATCTGAAACTGACAAATCAAAACCAACAGTGGCAATATCCAAAGGTCAAAAAAACCATTGTGTGACTTCTTGCACAGTGTAAATCAATGCTGTGACCTCAGCTGTGCAGGTCACAGCAGCAATGGAAAACACAGAGAATGTATCAACCTGCCTGTAGCTTGAGATGCGCACTGGCAAGCTGGGGAATAAACTCCTCTGCTAAAGGTGACAACTTGCTTCTCTTTCCTGGGTGTCATTCAACTATGAGTTTATAAAATCTCAGATGAGACTAATGAGGGAGGTTCTTGGCCTGATCTAACAATTAATTTTTTTTTCATTTATGAGAACAGGTGAGATTTCACTTGCCAATCATAAGTAACTTTAGGACAGAAATTCTGATCTAAGATAGTCCAATATTGTGTGGTCCTTTATAATCCTGTAGCCACAGGAAGGGGACTGCCCAAAATAAATATTTTTTAACCCAAAGACATTCTTAACAACACAGTGACTTTTATTTGCTCAATATATAAGAAATACTAGGGAATTCAACCATAACCATAAAGTTGCCAAATCATTATTTAGATTTGGTTTAGAGAGAAATAGTAAAGGTTGTTTGTTTGTTTGTTTGTTTTCTTTCTTTTTTTCTCCCCCACAAACACAAAGGTAGGCATTTATCAAATGAACTTCTTGGGATCACTTATTCAAGGTATGCAAATAGAGTCCATTTATTCACTCCTATGGAAGTTGTTATTTGCAGTTCAAAGTATGTTTCCTGTGAAACAAATTTTAGATTCATGAAGAATGGAAAAGACCTTGATTAATTTTTCCCAATAAGTTTGCATAATCTGCATACAAATTACTTCAATTACAGAGTTTTCAGACATGGGTTGATTAATTTGGCTGCTTGGAGCACATCACTGGAAGTGGAAGTAATTAGATTCCATGTGTGATACTTGCATCAATAAATATTTAGAAAGTACTCTGCATCTCCTGTAATATGCTAAGTTGCTTCATCCCCAAAATCCTTTGTCACAACAGCAACCAACATACTGTTATATTTAGTTTATTCTGTTAATCCTCCACAAACTTTTCTCGGAAAAGACTTTTGTTAGGTAGTTTGTATTTGGCTTGGTCATAATGGAGAAACACTCCCTGTTTCATAGAGGATAAGGATTTGCCAGATTTTTCATAAATGCTACTTTTAAGGGGCTATTTGGAATGGATTGGATACCGTGTCATATATCAATACTCAGCAGTCCCATATACAGATGCAAAGAAGTTCAAATTAAAAGGCTTTCGCAACAACAAGTTGCAAAAGAAATAAGACTGCTACCCTCTATTAAATTCTTATTGATGACTCGTGACTGACATATTACACAAAAACATCTGAAAGATCAGGACAACATATATTTTACATTCAGAGAGCTATCTATATAATGTTCAGTACCGATTCAGATAGTACAGACTTTTCAGTGAGATGAAGAAATAGCATCTTAACCTCCCATATTATATAGAAGAAGCACAAGTAATTTTGTACTCAAAAGATGCCGTCCAGATTTCAAAGAGGCAGATTTTACAGTAACAAAAGTCTACTATAGTCACTAGAAATTTTTTGTTGTGTTAATTAACAAAGAAAATGCAATAATAAATGAGATGTCAAGAGCAAGGGGGTATTTTATGCCTAATGCATTAACAGGCATTTGTTCATAAGTTCTGTTAAAGAAACCCTTTAAAATGTATATTCCACTGAGAAGCTCACGGTTCAGATCATATTTCAACAGAAACATTTACTAGTAGAATTGTGAACATAAGAATGGCTCCTCAGTTTGGCACTTTTGAAAAAAAAAACATGCTTTCAGAAATTATTTTGAAAGAAATATTTTAAGATTTAATAGACTTAAGAGAGAAGTTTCATTAGTGCTTTCTGGTTTTAGGCATCCATTTATAACCACCTCAATCCCTCAAAGTTTTTATCAATGTAAAACAAAAAAATAAAATTAAAAAAACAAACCAGCAGTTTAGTTGCAACTAGAAGCCAAGTATTTCTAGCACTCAGAACTCATGCATTTTCTTCAGAATATTCTCTATTTCCCCAAAACATGCAAACCTCCAAAATACTAGAGTCAAAGCCACAAGTACAGGACTATAGGAGTGCTCTTACCTGTGTGCTTTCGGAGGTGCTCTTTAAAATGACCGAAGTGATCAAACTGCTTATCACAGTACTGGCATATATGTATTTTTTTGCCAGGTCTTTGCTTCTTGCTAGCACCACCTTCATCAAGGTGGTAACAGGTGAGATGTTGTTTCAAAGCACTCTCTCGTAGGTACTTTTTATTGCATATGTCACACTTGTAACTCTCAGTAGAGTGTGTTTTCATGTGTTCCTTAAAATGGTAAAACAATTTAAATGAACGGTTACATTTTTCACAGTGGAATAAATTCTTCACGTGGGACAGCTGAAGTTCCACAATTTCAATATCTTCTACCTGTTTGCATGAGGGATCAGTTGCACTGCCACCTTCTTCTTGGATCTGGCATTTTGTCTCTCCTTGACGATACTTACTGGTGATATCAGCCAAAAGAGCCAAAGCAGATTCATCTGATGTACCCATTGTATGTATGTACTTTATAGATTGCTCTGCAGAAGCTACTTCAAGTGTTTCAATGCTGTTATCTTCTACTTCAATCATCCTTTCAGCAATCTCAACATCAATTTCAACAGGCTCCGATTCTGCAGATGGCAGTGTTTCTGTGATAACATTAGAGGTTTCAGCTATCTTCCTCTTTTTTGCTTTATTTTTACCTTGCCTTTGATTTGATTCTAATGGTGATGAATTTTCTTTGTTCCTGCAAAACATTTGCATAAACATAGTTAAGATCTATAAGCACTTACATAACAATTCCTGCCTGATGCTGAGCTTCTGCATTAAATACTAGCTAGCTGTTTCTCAAAGAAGATGAATTATGAATGACCACATAACCTGCACCCATTTCAGAAGCTAATTTGTCCTTAATCTATACACCTTAGAGCTGTAGAATAGCACAGTTAAAGCTGTGGAGCCTTTAACATAGGGTTATTCAAGTGTTTTAAATAGCTCCACTTGAATGATACAAAGCACCTATTCAAGAAGAAAGGTCAGTTAGCCTAATGACATAGGTCTATCTAAGAAACTTGTGAAATTCTGTACTAGGAAAGAACTTCTCCAAAGGAAGGAGTTCTTTGGCCTGTGTACTCAGAAATAAGACTCAAGTTCTTCCTACACTATTCACTTCTTAACTCTGGAGTGTATGCAATTGCCTGCAGCACTTACAGCTTCTTAGAAAACACTACAGTTGTGACTTCAAACGATTATTATAACATCTTGTACTTCAAGAAAACACACAGCTAACAATTGTAATAAAAAAGAAAAGCCACTGGGATGTGGAAGGAGTATTTTAGTTTAATTTATCTAGGCTTAAACACAGTTCTTAGCTCTGTTCCTCTTTTCCTTGCACCATAAACACACAACCCTCTTCCTCCAAGATGTCAGAGATAGCATCCCATCTCAAACACAGACAGAGGTAAGTGGGCCAATGATTTCAAGTCTCACACTCATGATAATCCACAGCATGGATTACATGCTGGAGGTTTTACTATTGATTATCAGTTTTGAAAATGAGTGGCTACCTTCCCCTCAAATCAGGTTTACAAGAGTAATTTGTGCTTTTATCTTCCTTTGCAGCCTGATAATTTTTTTTATGTAGTCTACTCCCTATCACTTTCAGGTTTTCTAGTAATAGGAGTGATAAGGTTTTTCTCCAGTATCTGTATGTCACATGGCAAAGATGTGTAGCTAATGACCTAATGCAGGATACAGCTTATTAAACTGCACCTAACTATATTCAGACACAGGAAGACAGAGTAGCTAAAGTTATAGTTTCATCTAGGATGGATTTCTGATGCTTAGAAGGTGACAATTACTTTGCACATTACTGCAAGGAGCTCCAGGATCACGTACCAAAATAATAATCTGCTCAGTAAAGAGGAGACTGCTGTCCTTGAGTACATTGTGTGGCTCAGGTGTGAAACTGAATGGGGATACACACATACAACACACTGTAATTCAAGGAATAATCATTGTTTGTTTTCTTTTAAGTCTAGATTATGTGCTGTGCAACTCTTTGATGCGTTACACAAATGGTTAGTTCTATAATAACATCTACTTTAGCTGAAGTTTCTGAAGCTTACCCCTTTCGTTCAAACCTCAGATAGGGGCACTGTACTGCAATTTGTCCCCTTCCTACCATGAAGGAGAAAACTGAGACTGACAGGTAGTACTCAAGTTTGTTTTTCTAACCAAAAACACCTGACCAAAAATCTACAAACAATGGAAATAACTCTAAGAATAAACTGGCTTCAACATGTGTGTGTTAAGCCAGACATTTATTTCCTTGTAACATAAGAATTTCAGCATCTACTAGTGATGCATAACGAACAAACTGCATAACATTATACAGTAGTGGGAATTAATTGCAGACTAGACAGTTTAGCTTGATGGACTGATATGAATCCTGGTTCAACAGCTCTACCAGTGTACACAGACTCAAAGTGATACCAATTAGAACATAGGTTTTCAATTTCAAGGGTCTGAAATTTCTCAAGCAGACAGCAAAGGTCTGCTTTTCCCTGAATGAAAAAAAAGTTCTTTTGGTGATACTGATGCCTATGGATTTTTTTGATTTTTAGTTTTTTGTAGATTTTAGAAGTAGCTGTAGACTGTCACACTTTAGCACAGTAGTTTACACATACCCCAACCCTATTACCCCATTTCATATTGAACTTCCTAAATTCCTTTAGTTTGTTTAGACTTCCCTCAAGGTAGGTCTTGATTCTGTTTAAGAACATTTGCACCCTGGTTTGAACAACAAGATACACCAATAGACAAAGTAACCTTCAAAACCCGGAACCTTGGAGGAGCTCCAAGGACTGGACATGCTGAGACAAAGAGGAAGATGAGGAAGGGGGGTCTCAGGACCCCTGACTCAATTTCCGGGGGGGCAGAACTGGCAGTCGGATAGATCAGGGATTGGATGGACTGTACCATAAATTGTGTAACCCCTGGACATGTGGTACGCGTGTCTCTGTACTCCCTGTGGTTGAAGGCCGTCTATTAAAACTGCTCTCTACCTTATCTCTACTAATGATTGCCTGGTGAGTCTATTTTTGGTTCCCATTATCTTAAGGCAACAATACCATGTTTAATCTTAATAATGTCGAAAAAGGGTGTTGGTGGGGTTGTAGAACTAGAAATGCACAATCCTATCTTTCCTCTTAAAAAAACCCCAACATACTTATTCAGCTCTGCTACCCATCAACAGAATAACTTGATTCAAAAAAACACAAAAAAACAATGATGTTGAAAACCAAGTTTCCAGGGTACCATGTCATGGAGGTTTTGTTTGTTTGACTCCCAGAGGAACTCTGTGTCAGTGCCACTCTCCTTAGCTTAGTGTGCCTAAGGGGAGATAAAGAAGAAACAACAGTCTTTCCTTAACCTGAACACAAAGACCTTTCAGCAGATTTAGAAGAGAAAGCAAGGATAACCATAATGCTGGCAGGTATTTATTGCCATTTCCTCTGCTTCATGACAGAAGAACAGTGTAGCATACGGAAGGAATGAGAACATGACAGCACTTTGTGAAAGGGAAGGAAGGGGAAGAAAAACAGCATTATGGGAATGGCACCAGCTTTTCTCAGGTTGGAGTTTGGTAATGGATTGCAGTTCCTTGTACTGTTTCTTGTACAGTACTGGATAAAAGGTGCTACAGCAACATTTGATTAAGTACTGATCCTATATGAAACCAATTATAACAATTACATTTGTTCAAGAAGTTTGAGAGATTAATTTTGCAACAAGTTTTAAAATCACTTCCTATTCTCTGGAAAGCAGAAATCTGCATGAAATCAAAACACCAGCGCAAACTTGTTAATGTGGTCTAATAACCTGAGAGACATTGTCACTGTACAGCCAGCTGTCAATCAGGTGTGGGTAGTCAGATAGTATAGAGGCCTGGTATTAGTTATCATGAAGTCACAGCCCTACAATGTCTGCAACATTTACATCCATGTCACTTGTCATCAAGTTCTAGCCCAAAGAATGTGACATTCATTTTTTTAGCCTGTATAATTCTGACCCATATCTTATAGTACAAGAGTATACAATACCACACAAGTTTAGGAGGTTCTAGGATAAAGAAGAGCACTGCAAAATACTGGCAGTCAGCTCTCGTAAAAGGATTCTTAAGACTCTCCATTTCAGGGTTGGGAAGAAAAAGAGGCTTATGTGTTTACCTGATTTCAAGTGCTTTGATCGCTTCTAACATCTGTAGATACTCAGCTGCTTTCCAAACATCATTTGCTTCTTCCTCACCTTGGACCATTAGTTTTGCTGTATAGGTGAACTCAATTAGGTGACGAAATGCTATGTTACTTACACCTGTTTACAAGCAAGAAAAACAGTCTCTCTTAGCAATTCCTCAGTCTTGCACACTTGCCTGCTCACAGTACTCCAGGAACCAGTTTCATGAAGATGTCACCCTTGAAAGGCTCCCATTTGAATAAAAAGTCTACCATAGAAACACATGAATCTGGAAGAACTAGAGTCATTCCATGACAAAGATAAAAAGAAGAATAAGATGGACAAAAAGTTACTTGCATAAAATAATAAAAAGTTCATATTTAAACATAAAAATATGATCTCTCTCAAGAGAGCTCTGAGTAGCAAGCTACCAGAAGCTGAAATGCTCCAGGAAATTGCTCCTTGCCTACCAGGCAGGTATAGCTCCACATCTATCCTGTTCTTGCACCGCAGCCAAGGTATCTTTTCAATTTTTCTTCAGAGGAAGTATTTTCCAGTGGCAATAACTACCTGTACTGGTTTTGGTTGGGACAGAGTTAAATTTCTTCATAGTAGCTAGCATGGGGCTATGTTTTGGATTTGTGCTGAATCATAGAATGGTTTGGGTTGGAAAGGATCTTAAAGATCATCTAGTTCACACCCCCTGCCATGGGCAGGGACACCTTTCACTAGACCAGGTTGCTCCAAGCCCCATCCAAACTGGCTTTGGACACTTCCAGGAATGAAGAGTCTACAACTTCTCTGGGCAACCTGTGTGTGAGGAACTGGACTTTTTTAATCGCCTTAAAACATTGCTATTGGAGTGAGCTGTGCAATTCCCTTTCCAGGGGACTGAAGATAAGGCTGAGGGGAGAAGGCCCTAGGGGCAAAGTCTTGGGTGTGTGATGCCTATCTAAAGGAGACCAGTGGCACTCTCTGGGTATGTGATATTTATCTCCTATGGGCCAGGCCATGTCAAAGGGGCCATGTGCACACACATCCATCACTACCCTGAGGAGGCCTCTTAGTAGGGGTGCCTTTGAAGCACCCTCATCCCCAAGCCTAAATGACTTTGCAAAAACCAGTGCTTTCAGCCTCTGCAAAAGCGGCTCCCCACACACATGGGGCAGGACCAGGAGGGTTTCTGAGGGTATATAAACCCACTGAATTCTGTGTTTTGTGGGCTTCTTTCCCCCATCACTCCCCAACAGACCAAGACACCAGTGACAACAGCAACCAAGTTCACCAGAGACCTTTGAGTGGTGACTGTAACATTTATTCTTCTCTTTCTTTCTTTTAACTCTTGTTCTTTCCTCTCTTTCTTTCTCTCTTTTCCCTTGCACATTTTCTTGGGTGGCTATATTACAACCAAAATGGCTACATACCTGTTTTCCTTTGCAACCAAATTATTCTAAAATAAGTCATATATATATATATGCAAACACTGATGACCTAGGGATATAATAATAAAACAAAAGTTACTCCTGCTTGGCAGGGCAGGTTGTAACACTGTGCCAGTGCCTCACCACCCTCACAGTAAAGAATGTCTTCCTAATATCTAATCTAAACCTACTGTCTGCCAGTTTGAAGCCAATGCCCCTTGTCCTGTCATTCCAGGTCCTTGTAAATAGTCTCTCTCGATCTTTCTTGTAGGCTCCCTTCAGGAAGGTTGCAATTAGGTCACCCCAAAGCCTTCTCTTTTCCAGGCTGAACAAACCCAGTTCTCTCAGCCTTTCCTTGTAGAAGAGGTGCTCCATCCCTCTAATGAACTTGGTAGCCTCCTCTGGACTAGCTCCAACAGGTTGATGTCCTTCCTATAATGAAGCAGTGTTGATAACACACTGATGTTTCAGTTACTGCTTAGCAGAGCTAAGGCCTTTTCTGATTCTCACACCGCCCTGCCAGTGAGGGGCTGGGGGTACGTGGGAGGTTGGGAGGAGACACAGCCAGGACAGGTGATCCCAACTGACCCAAGGGATATTCCAGACCATACGACATCACGTTCAGCATATAAAGCGGGGGTGGGGGGCAGGTGGAGGGGCCACTGCTAGGGGACTTGGCTGGGCATCAGTCAGTTGGTAGCAAGCAACTGTTTTCCTTTGCATCACTTGTCTTCCTTAGGTTTTTTCCTCTCTCTTTTCTCTTTTACTTATAATGTTTACAAAGTTATTATTTCTTTGTAATTATGAAACTGGTTTAATCTCGACCCACGAGTTACTTTCTCACTTTTACCCTTCTGATTCTCCCCCCCCATTCCACTGGTGGAAAATGAGTAAGCCTGGCTCTGTGGTGTTTAGTTGCCAGCCAGAGTTAAACCACAACACAACCTCAGAACAACTCAAGAGCTGATATTTAAAGAGCTAATCAATATGATCAAGTATGCATTGAAGCCCATACCAGGAATACTACATTAATTTTGAGCTTGGGCACACAACTCTGAAGGTTTTTATTTGCATGAATCAGACTACCTTCAATTTCCACCAAGGGCTCCTGAGTGAAATCTTGGAAGAATTTGTAGAAGAACTGGCTACAGGCAGCAAGAACAGCCTTATGAGCTTTGAAATGGTGACCTACAAAGACAGACAAAAAATTTGGTTTAGGATAACACCTTCTTTACTCATAGTGCAGAATAAGTACAGATGCAGAGAAGAGAACAGCTGCAGGATCACCCAGTCTACAAATCTATTCCAGCAGTACATAGTCACTTAGTATGTCTCCTTGTAACATGGGATACCACTGCAGCTAGCCTGTCCCATCTTATGCAGATCCTTGCTGACATCACTGACCTTGTTGAAGCTCTGCAATTCAATGAGCTGAAGGACTCACTCTAGTCTTTCTCTTTTCAGATATGTCAATTGTGGGAAGATCCTGTTGAAACTTTTTCCCATATGTCTTTGGCTCAGCTCTCAGGTTTTATCCAAGTTCTCCTTAGTTTTTGCTGCTCTTACATATGGATGTATTTAATCATCACTTCTGCCAGCATAAAGATCCCTGCAGAAAAAAGTAGTTCTGCTGTGTTCTTCCTGTTTTCTAGACTGTGTATTCCTCATCACTGTGTTGCCTTCTCCCTGGTGTGGGCATGAACACTCTGAAGGCTCCATGGGACAGAGGTAAAAGAAGCAACATGGATTAGAACTACACAGCTGCACAAGAAAACAGTTTTGAGCTCAACATGTGGATTTTGTAATACTAGAGCAGGAACAAACATTCAGGCTAAGTTTTGTGCAAGCATTGTGAGTGAAACTACAATGATTCTAAAGAGTAATGTTTTCTTCATTTGCTTACCTTTTTCTAATCCAGGCTCTGTAGGACCCTTTTCTTTCAAGTAAAGTCTAGCTCTCCTTTTAAGGATCAGATGGTACTCCTTTAGCTAGGTCTGTCCTAGTGGACACTGCCTATCTTCCTTGAAGTGCTCATCCATTCTAAGACATGTTCGGGATAAGAAGCAATCTTAGGTGTTCTATCAGACACCACCTTTTTGAATGAAATAATGAGTATTTATATCTCCATCTTCCTTTTACACTAATACTTATGTCTTTAGAATTCATAGAAAAAGTGAGTTGTTCTACCCTATTTAAACTATATATTAAAATAGTAGGCAGATACCAGAGAAGCAAGAAGGCAGTCTTTTTTTTTTTAAATAATCAACCAATATTTGTACAAGTTCTCTGCATGCAAACAATCAGTTCAAGTTAGGGAAAGATATTTTTACAATGTTTTGGAAATCCTTAGACAACACATTAAATATAGCCATTTCAAAGTGGGTTTCTATCTGAAAATATTTAGCCCCTTGTTTGGAAGGGGCTCCCTATTCTCCGCCTCTACTCTGTTCTCATGAAACCCCACCAGCACTGCATCCAGGTCTGGAGTCCTCAGCACAGGAAAGATGTGGATCTGTTATAGCAGGTCCAGAGGAGGCCACAGAGATGATCAGAGGGCTGCAGCACCTCTCCTATGAAGACAGGCTGAGAGAGAGAGATGGGGCTATTCAGCCTGGAGAAGACACTGGGGACAACTTAGAGCACCTTCCAGTGGCTAAAGGGGGCCTATAAAAAAGAGAATGACTTTTTACATGGGCAGATAGTGATAGGACCAGGAGGAGTGGTTTTAAAATAAAAGAGGAGAGATTTAGATTAGAAAGAAATTCTTCCCTGTGAGGGTGGTGAGGCCCTGGCACAGGTTGCCCAGAGAAGCTGTGGCTGCCCCATCCCTGGAAGTGTTCAAAGCCAGGTTGGACAGGGTTTGGAGCAACCTGGTCTAGTGGAAGGTGTCCCTGCCCATGTCAGAGGGTGGAATGATGAGCTTTAAGGTCCCTTCCAATCCAAACCATTTTGGGATTATATGAAAAACAGAAGAAAAATTATTAATCACTGCTGGAGACTGTTCAGCCCAAGATTAATAAATGAAACTCTGTAAACAATTCACACATCAATACAGAGCCAAGAATTTGTTAGCGGGCAAGTTTGACAGCTGACCTGTGACAAACCCAACAGCTTCCCAGAACAGTTTTCAGAATTCTCTAGATATCAACTGGTTCTCGGGAGTATACATACCATCGACAATCAGAGTGATATCTGTAAACTGGTCCTGTTCACGTTGTTCATTTAGTCTATCCAAAATAACTTTATAGTGTTCAGGGAATTCCTGGATACATTCCATCATTTCTTCGGCTTCCATGGCAAAAGGATTAATCTGCAAAAGATGTGGTAGGACAGTAAGAATACTGTGCCATTTAGAAAGTACTATGCACAGTCAGGTTAGTATACAAACATGAACTAACTAGCACTTTTCAGGGACTAAAAAGCCAATAGGAACACCAAACTGTCTTGGTAACAGGTTTACCTGATTTTAGCTGACAGGTAGGAAACAGTTAATGAAGCATGGCCTTATTTATACACATGAAAAAACAGTCAAAGTGGGTAAGTGCATTTCTACATTCTACAGATTCAGTAGGGACCCACCTCCCTCAAAGCAAATACTGTAACATCTCCACTGCTAACTATTCTACATCTCAGCAGCATAATGTCAGAATCTTTATAGTTACTTCTTGCAATTCTACCAATCCTCTTTGTGAAAGAATGGTTCTGGACATTTTCATACTTGTCACATTTCGTATATAGGAAACACAAGACGTTTAGTTCCTTTAAATAAGGATGTAATAAAACAGTATTTTTCAGTTTTTGGGTACATAGGAGTTGCCAGGGATTTAATGTGTTGTCACACCCAAGAACAAAGAGCTTCTTATTTACTCAGCCTTCTTACACTTCTCCCCCTACAAGGTGAAACATTCTTTGCAAACCTTTTAAGAGATATGTATGCTTGTAATCTCATGGTTTTTTCTCCCTTACTTGTACAACAAACATAGCTGGGGGTGGGAGTTGCAGAGATCCTCAAACCTGAAAAGGTTTAGCAGAAGTCTGTGCCTGTGGATGAGACACAGATGTTGGTGTGCTGCTGATGCAAAAGAATCTCTGGAGAGAGTCCAAGTGCTTCAATGAAAGCATTTCACAAATTAACTCTGGGCAAAATGACTTCAGATCTGTGCAGCAACACTCATCTTCAACTTCCACATTCACATGGCTCTCACACTGAGAATGCCACAGATAAAGCAAAGACATTTCAAAGTCACATTAATGCAGAAACTTTGTTTTCATAGTGCAACTCACTTTGAAGAACATATGGTTTCTAAGAGATGGTCATTGGGCTTGAATGAGTGAAGGGTACGTCTCAAATTCCTTTATTGTTTTACTTAGTATGGACAAAAGAAAGTCAGGGGAGCAGCTAGTATCAAGCCAAACATTGAATATAGAGATGGAAAATTCTGGTGTGGCAAAGAAGCAGTTTTCTTTAGAGTGCTAGAAGTGATTCAAAGAAATCCTTAAATGATGTGTAAAGCACACTTTTATTATGGGGAGATGCAGGGGGTTTTGCCCCTCCCTGTGCATTCCACCGAGAAAAGAAACACAACAGCTTTTTATACATTTGAAGGAGTGAGTTTCAAAATTATCTATCACATACACTCTTTACAAAGTCTGCCTTATCTAAATAGACATTTGGTTGCCTAACTCCTATTCTTATTACTATAGTTACATAAAGTTTTATCATTTCAAACAGCTTAGGTTTCCCCCACCCCTCTTCTGTCTCCCTTGCCATGCTACATGCTAAAAGTCTTTCCTGCTTTCCCTGACAGTCCCTTTTGTTTACATAAGCTAGCTTTATCTTAATTGCCCACAATTTGGGCAGCAACCTTCTTTCAAGCAGTTACAATCTTGCAAAGTCACACTTAACATAGCTAAATTTTACTAACATAGCTAAATTTGTATTGTATTTTATCTTGTCTTTATTTCAGAAGAAACTAGATAACAGGTGCTCCCTAACTTGTGCAGATCTTCTGTACATGATTGGAATTGAAAAGTCCTGAGCTGATGCCACCATGTTTGCTAACTCCCCTGTGCAGCTGCGTAAATCCTACCTCATTTCCAACAAACACATACTGGAGAAGAATTACCTGGCTATGATAAAAGCAAAGTTATTGTTTTATGACTAACAGACATCAAGTGAAGGAAACTGTGGAATTCCTATTTTTACCACAAAACACACTCTTTTTTGCATCTCAGAAAAACTGTCCCATGGAGAAATTATTTTGCCAAGAGATGGAAAAAAGAAGAGCCGAAGCAACTGCTTATGGAAGTTTAGTTCTATCTGCTATCACTGCTTTGCCAGGAAGATGCTGAAATACATATCGGGATCTCGTGAGGGCAAGGGAGAAAGTGAGGTTGAAGGAAGAGAATGCTGCTGCCTTCACCTCATCTGTAATGATATGTCTAAGACAGATGATCAGCATCTTTCTTCCATCCATTGTTCCATAAAGTCTCATGTGGAAAGGTGTCAGCCATTTTACTTCACTGCTTAATTTTTTCTTGCCCATTTTTGACACATTGTACAAGGATATATGACTTGCAGTTAAAAACACAATTCCCTAAAAGTTAAACCAATAAAAATTTCAACCTCAAATCTCATCATTTCCACCTATCCCGAATTTACTTCCAAATTGCATGCTTGTAGGGAGATCTTACATCCCCCTCCAAAATAACAGAGCAAGCCCCCCCAATCTAAGAAATTTTAAAAAGTTTCAGTCTCTCAGAACACTAAAAATCACAAATAAAAAACTGACTTACGATAGGTAATTTATTGTCCCAAATTAACACAAAACTAGTAAAAAAGCGTGAATTTATCACACATCTAAATACAGTTGCAGCATCCATTGACTCTTCTCATTTTAAACTCTGTAATATTGCAGAAAAAAGCCCAACAGAACAGTATATGTTCAATGAGAGCATAACTACTTTGGAGCAAGAAGTGAAATGCACAGTCCTCAGGAAAAAAACAAGAAGCCAAGAAAGGCAGACAGAAGTGATCCAAGTTGACAGGCTCATATATGAATGATGAAAACTGGATTAATTCAGTTATTTACCTGGATTTTTCAGCAGACCCAGTTGACTTCTGACTTTACCTTATTAACTTCTGACACTAGATGCATCTCACACAATATGCATGCAATCAGCAGATCTGTTCTTATAAATCTACCTCAATTAAGCCATTTTATTATTTCCAAACTCCTGGACTTCAACAGGAACTCCTGTTATTTCAGGAAAAAGATATTTGTCTAAATGGATCATACACAAATGCAGGCAGGCAGAGCAGGCAACACATAACAGCAGACTGAGCACTGGTCAAACCACTGCCATGTCATTGTAGCCACATCAGGAAAGGAGAATGAGGGGTGTTTGGAGGGTAACAGCAGTGGTTGCTTCAAGATAACACAGACACGAGAACTACTTGTGCAATTTGCTATGTATTTTTCTGCAAAAATAACAGCCACAGCGCAAGGACATGAGCCAGCCCCTCAGTTCCCTCTCAATCGCACACAAGGCCTCACTATCTCTGAAGCGACCCAGGCACCCATGCCCCGACGAGCAGGGCAGGGCACAAGCTAGGTGTGGCGCTGCCAAGGGGCACGAGAGGCCTCCAGTTGTTCATAGCGGCTGCGAGGCGGAACTGCGACCTGCCGCTAAAACCCACCGGCTCGAGTCTCCGCGGAGCTCTCGAAAGCGAGGCCGAGGCCCAACCCCGTCAAAGCCCCTCAGAGCCCCGCGCACCCCGTGGTCAACCACAGCCCCACTGGCGGGCGCTGGCGGTAATCAGCGCGAACCCCGCCAATCGTAAGGCGGCGGCAGAGCCCGGCCCAGGTGGAGAAGCAAATGAGAGCCCGCCGAGTCCCAGGAGCGTCAGAAGGTTTCATTAGTGCTGAGGGCTTGTTGGGTACGGGCACTCGCACTCCGAGAGTGGTGTGGGCGACCGCCGGCAGGTGCGAGTATCACACGAGGGCACTCCCGAGAAGGGGACCCGACCAGTGCTGGCCCGAACGTACGTTCAGCAACACCGCCACCTTATTAGTCGTTATTACGTCATCAAATCGCGCATTAAATACATTCCTTTTCAATTCCCGGCCGGGTCGCACCCTGGAGGCAGTTTCGCTGAGTAACTCACCGTGAGGAGCTCCTTCGTCCTGCCGCGCTCTCTCTGCTATTACCGTTTCCTGCTTCCTAAGACGTTGAAAAGCGGGACAGGCGCCGGCCAATCGCTACTCGCACTCCTGGCCTGCACCGCGTGCGGAAGTGACGGTAGGGTCACCTTTCACACGACAGGGTGCGGAGGGGGAAGGGGTACGGTTCGACTGCTCGGAGCATTCTGAGAGTTGTAGTCTGGGATGTGTGCGTGTGTCAGCACCGTATGGCTGCAGGCAGAGAGCGGTCGTTGGAGGTGGGTGACGCCGCCGTGAGAAGCTGGGGCGGGCCTGGGGGCAGGCGGGCTACTTCCCCCAGGATTGGCACATCGCCGTGTCGCTGGCTCTCTCCGCAGGGGAGCAGGCAGTGCCCACGCGGGTTGGGGCAGCCGCGAGAACTGGCAGCTCCGACGGTCATTTCGTACAGTCTCGGCCCTGAGCTGCGGTGGGAGCCCCGGCGCCGGCGGGTGCCCATTCCTCTCGGTAGGACGGCTGTATGGAGGAATGGCCTCGGCTGTTCTGCCCTTGGGAGGGAGAGAGCTGCTTTCTGAACATGAAAGAAAAATGCAATTAAATTCATCATTAGGGTAAGATTAAACACCGTCGTTTTTACCCAGATTTAAAGTCTTTATGTTTACCAGTTTCATAAATGAGCCAACAGGTACGTGCAGATTGCTTGTAACAGAGTACTGGCAATATTTGACTGCCCTTATTCTGTTATGGAAATTACATGTGCTAACCACCATAATAGGGTTCAACTCTAGGTTTCTGCTGAATCAATAAGCCAAAAGGACCTTCTTCTATGCAGTCCTTTCTATTAGTAGCACTACAGCTTAAGCTGGATGCTTCCAAGAGGGACCTTGAACAAAAAAATCCCTGGGCAATTATACCCTTAACAATCTTAATTCCCCACCCATCATGCAACAGTTCAGACCAGTAGTAATAGTAGGGTCTGGTGTCTTCTGGTTCTTCATCACTGTCTCTAGGCGTGCCATTTCTTATCTCTAAGGTTGCAGTTTCTATTAATGAATGTTCATAGTGGTTTCATGCTGCTTGAATTCATATTTGGTTTAGTTCAGTTATAATGTCACTGTGGTTGTATTCATTCCTCTTTTGTGCTACCACCTATACATTCTAAATTTTTTAGCCTTTTCTGCATTTCACTAGGAGCTTTTATGCCCTTTCCTCTTAGTGGTTGAGTCCACATAAGGTGTGGACCACTGTTTTATGGCAGTGGATCCTTATGGTAAAAAGGAAAGGCTGAAGGCTTTGTAGCAGCACTGCTCTCCAGCCTCCCATTCCCCCAGTCTGTCCATACATCTGGGGTTGCCCCATCCCAGGGGCAGAATCTGGAACTTGCCCTTGTTGAACTCCATATTGTTGGTGGTTGCCCAGCCCTCTAATTTTTGAGGTCTTTCTGCAGGGCCTCCCTGCCTTCAAGGGAGTCAGTAGTTCCTCCCAGTTTTGTGTCATCTGTAAACTTGCTTAATATCCCCTCCAGTCCTGCATCCAAGTAATTTACGAAGATGTTGAAGAGCACAGGGCCTAAGAGGGAGCCCTGCGGAACCCCACTAGTGACAGGTCACCAGTCTGATGTTACCCCAGTCACTATTACCCTCTGTGCTTGACCCATCAGCCAATTGCTCACCCATCGCATGATGTGCTTATCCAGCTGTGGGCTGGACAGTTTGTCCAGAAGGATCCTGGGAGAGACAGTATCAAAAGCTTTACTGAAATCCAAAAAGATTACATCAACTGGCTTCCCTTGATCAACCAGGTGGGGAACCTTGTCTTAAAAGGAAATCAGGTTTGATAAGCAGGACTTTCCTCTCATGAAGCTGTGCTGGCTGTGACTGATGAATGTGTTGTCTTTCAGGTGTTTTTCAATACCTCCCAGAATAATCTGCATAACTTTACCAGGCACTGAAGTGAGACTGACAGGCCTGTAGTTTCCAGGGTCTTCCTTGAAAATCAGGACAATGTTCACCAGCTTCCAGTCAACTGGGACTGCTCTGGATTCCCAAGACTACTCAAAAATCATCGAGAGAGGTTTTGCAGTGACATCAGCCAGCTCTTTCAGGATTCTGGGATGAATCCCATCAGGCCCCATAGATTTGTAGGGATCCAGCTGGAGCAGCAGATCCAGTCAGGTGAGCAAGGGGTGTTGCCAGGACCATTTGTGGAAGATTTAAATGGCTATAGGGAGCATGAGTGACCCCGAACCGTGGTGAACAGGGGTGTGGCATGTCAGTGAGGGTGTGGCATGGCAGTTTGAGCAGGCAGGGTGAGCAGAAAGGACGCAGCCACCCTCCTGGCTCCTGGTGGTGGGTTGTGTGTTAGGTGTGGATGTGGTGGGGTGGTTTGTTTTTTTTTTCCTCCAACTTGACTAGATCCAACAATTGTTTCCAGACAGTCAAAAGCCATTACTGCTGCTGCCAGCAGGAATGTGGTGACACAGACAGAACCCCCCAAAAAGCATGCAGCTGTCCAGATCACTGGCTGCTGGGAGTGTCTGAGCCTGGTGTTGGTACCAGAGGACAGTGCAAAAGACACCTGTGTGCAGTGTGAATGGGTGAATGATCTGCTCTGTCTACTGGCAAAGCTTAAGGAAGAAGTAGAAAGGCTAAGAAGTATTAGGGAGAGTGAAAGGGAAATAGACTGGTGGAATTACACTCTTCCAACCCTGAGAGAAACTCAGCAGGAGTGAGAGAAGCCCTGTCCCTCTTGCCATCAGGCAGAAGGAGGAGATGTAGTAGATAGGAGGTAATGGAAATGGGTCCCTGCTCAGAGAGGTAAAAGAATCCCCTCCTGACCCCCATCACCTTCCCAGCTGCACTTACAGAATACATATATGAGGCCCTGGATCTACAGAGTCAGGCAGAGGACACTAGAGAAAAAAATCTGTCTGGAGAGTCTCCCAGTTGCACTCCATCTACTAGACGGATCACAACCACAGCTATTAAGAAAAAAGGAAGGGTAGTTGTAGTAGGTGACTCCCTTCTGAGGGGAACTGAGGACCCTGTATGCCAACCGGACCCATCCGACAGGGAAATATGCTGCCTCCTTGGGGCCCAGGTAAGGGATATTACCAGGAGACTCCCTGAGCTAATTCAACCCTCTGATTATTACCCACTGCTGGTTGTCCAAGTTGGCAGTGATGAGGTTGATAAGAAGGGTACCAGGGTAATTAAAAAGGACTTCAAGGCTCTGGGTCGATTGGTTGATGGGACAGGAGTGCAGGTGGTATTCTGCTCAGTTCCTGCAGTAGCAGGGATGAATGATGAAAGGAACAGGAAAGCCCATGTTATCAATAAGTCACCTAAGGACTGGTGCCATCAGTGGAATTTTGTTTTTTTTTGATCATGAGGCAATTTTTAGGGCACCAGGCCTACTTGAGTCAGATGGGCTTCATCTATCTTTTGCAAGGGCAAAAGAACCTATGAGTTGGCAGGGCTGATCAAGAGGACTTTAAACTAGGTTTGAAGGGGGAAAGGGATGAAACCAGGCTCTCCAGAGATGAAGGGTGGTAAGCCAGAGTTAGGGGTGAAATCAGCAGCCCAGCTGAAGTATATGTACACCAATGCATGCAGTATGGGTAACAAACAAGAGGAGCTGGAAGCCATCATGCAACAGGAAAGCTATGACGCAGTTGCCATCATGGAAATGTGGTGGGATGACTGGCATAACTGGAGTCCTGCAGTGGATGGCTACATCCTCTTCAGAAGGGATAGGCAAGGTAGGAAAGGTGGAGGGGTGGCTCTTTATCTTAGGGAATCTCTTGACTCTGTAGAACTTGAGGTTAGTGACAATATGGTTGAGTGCCTATGGGTAAGAATCAGGGGGAAGGCCAACAAGGCTGACATCTTGATGGGAGTCTGCTATAGACCATCCGACCAGGATGAAGAGGTGGATGACTTATTCTACAAACAGCTGGTGGATGTTTCAAGATTGCCAGCCCTTGTTCTTATGGGAGACTTTAAGCTGCCAGATGTCTACTGGAAACTCAATACAGTGGAGAAGAGGCAGTCCAGGAGGTTCTTGGAGTGTATG